TACACACACTGAATTAAACCAAACCAGATTTAAAATCAAACCAAACCAAACAGTAACAACAGTGAATGCTCCTAAACCAGGATAGGCCGCCCTATTATTTGGAAGGAGAAGTCAGTGGCCACAGTTGGCAAAGAAGTGATGCAAACGTGGTGGGACACATCATGATCAAGGAGGGAGACCAGACATTTTTTTTAAGACGATGGGGACTGCAGGTTTTTTTCCCCCCCTTCATAAAGCCTATTTTTAGTCTGTATTACAGCTTTCATATGCCCCTAACTCAGAATGATATGAAATCAACATTCAGGAGGAATTCTGTGGGCTACAGAAAAGAAAACTGGGTTCCACCAGCCGCCTACCATGAATATATCTGCTTTTGGAGCCTTACTGAATACCCCGTTCTGTTGTCAAGAGTAACTTTTATTGCAAGGTTTCCATACTAAGAAACTTTGCCTTAGTATACTTAGATCAGCCTTGCAAAGTTAAGATGGTACTCCTGCGTGGGGCTGGGCAGTGCTTCAGATTCAATCCCCAAAGGGTCTCCAAAAGTGCATTTTATTGTGGCAATTGTTGTCTATTGAGTTTTGGTCCATGCATATAGGTATCTTTGTTTTTAATTGTTTTTAATCATTATTAAGTTTATTGTATTTATTGCTAGGCACGCAGAGTCGCACATTGATTGGGCACCTATATAAATTGATCAAATGAAAGAATGAATAAGGGAACATGCACAGGCTGAATGTAGTATTTGTCTGCAGCGCTTTCAAGCAGCTCATTTTTTCCACAATCATGTGGCTGGTGTAACCAGAGCACATTTACAAGAGACTGAACCTTTCTGAAATCAATCAGACTTACTATTTCTCAGCCTAATTTCAAAATCCTTTTGCAAGGGACCTTGGCAGGAGTGATGGGTCCTTCCCTCAGCATGTATGGGGATGAGAGAGAGAAAAAAAGAGAAGAGGATGTCAGAAAGAAAAAAAGAAAGGTGTCAGAGAGAGAGAGAACAGATTGCACCCATTGCATGCTTCGGCCCCTCCCGTCAACAGATGACCATCAAGAACCAAGAGGATGCGGGCTGATGTGCAGAAGGAAAGAGCACCACTGTGCACCAGACAACATTTCTTTGTAAGCATCACTCTGGACTACCAACTGAGCTCTCACCAGCCCAGTTTTATACACATTAAAAATGCACTTTACTCAGTCAGTTTCAACTAAATTTTATCATTTAAAATGTGCTTTGAGGATGTTGTTTTTAAAGCAGTTTTTCCACTAATCTTTTAATTGTGGAGCCTACTGTAAAAAGCTCTTTTTGTATGAATGCAAAGGATTAGGTTTAACCCTTTTAAAAGCATAACACACTGAACAAGGTGTGTAGGATATGTTCACTATTCCCATTAGACAGGGTTTTGAGGGATGTATCCCATCAATATGGAAGAAAAGGGGAGAATCCCAAAGTCAGAGATTAGCCCTACTGAGCACAACATTAAGATTAATTTCGCTGGATGTCTTATGGAGGAAGAAATGCAAATATGTTTTGTAGTGACACTTCATGGGAAAAAAAGTTAACACCCACATCACAAAATGTAACTGCAGCACTGTAATACCGTCCACAGCAGCCAACATCCTGACTGCTGTCTAGAAGAAAAAAGGAACATTCTGTGGCAAATAACACTACTTCTTTGTTCAAAGGTATGAGGTTCCCCCCCCACCCCTTGTGACAGGGAGGATAAATAAATACAGCAAGTATGATGAATGGCTATCATATGCTAAATAGCAGAAAACGTTAGTTTTCTGATTAAGGGAGAAAAAACAGAATTTCTCAGGCCTAGCTTTAACACCATTTCTGATAGATAGCAGCTATATTTCAAAATACTCACTTTGACAGCTGTGTACTTTAGACTGCTTTATTTCTCTTTAAGTTTTTTTTTTTCCAGAAGAGGGAGAAAACAAACAAAACCTCGACTTACAGCGGTGGAAGTGCACTGAAAGCAAGGCCTTTTCAAACACCCAAGAAAAACTAGGATATTCCAGCAGAAAAAATAGAAGTCTCAATCAAACTGTAATTTAAATCCTATTTATATTAAATGCAATTAGATTTAATGAGAACCTTTAATAAAACAAGGTTCTTTATTTTTTAAGAGTGAAGTCCATCTGCTTTCTTTTAATACCCTTTTCTAGTTCTAGACAAAATATTATTTCATGCAGTGTTATAAGACTTCAATGACGTACCTGGGGCCCAAATCAACCTCAACACATACAATGATCAGCGGCATCAGGGTGGAGGAGATGGTTTAAATTAAAAAAAAAAAAAAAGATTCTAGCCACAACTGCATGATTAAAGCTCCAACCCTTTCACATGTGCAATTTGTGGTTGTGGTTACCATCTTGATTTTTTCTTTTTTTATTACCCCTGGAAACACCCTATCAGGGTTCAGATTGATGGGCATGATATTCCTTCAACAACTGGATATCCACAGATCTCTTCCCTGAAGAGTTAGAAAATGGATGCTGAATCACAGATGCTCTTGTTATGCTGAATGTATGTTTTTTTTTTTTTTCAAAGCAGAGGTAGAAGAACATAAGATTTTTCTGGCCAAGAGCCCCCTTTGACCTCGGCATACCATGCTGGAGGCTGTATGCAGCACGAAAACATAAGCAGCACAGAACAAAAACGGATTTGATTTAATATATTAAATTAAGTACAGTGTGTTGTAGTGTTGAAAGGTTAGAATGAAAACTGGGAAGGCTCAGACTGAAGCCCACCTTCAGCCATGGAAGCTCCTTGGATGACTTTGGCCCTATTATTATCTCTAATAATTGAAACGGGTCCTGTGGTACCTCCTGGTGGTCAATGTAAATGAAAACTGCACAGGATATACACTGTATAATTATAGAGAAATTCTCCTCCCCTCCAAGAGGGGTGTGTGGAAGTCATGAAAACCCCCATACATGGGGGTATAACAATGTAACACCTGTCTCTCTTTTTTCTGAGAGCTTAAAGCAGCGGTTCTTCAACTGGGAGTAATTTAGGCATATCCTGGGGTAATGCAATTTGTTATTGCTTGTTTGTGAGTCAAGAATCCATTCTGGGACAATCATTGCCAAGACCCTTGTATAAAACAACAGAATCGGGGGGGGGGTAATGACATTATTCAAGACCGAGAAAAGGAGAATTGGGTCAAACAGTTTAAGCATCGCTGGCTTAAAGGAAGATGGACTATTTATACTATTTTGATAGTGCTATCCCACAAAGTAGTTATGGGGAAAATAAACTGAGGAAGGAAATAAGATGTATACTGCTCAGAGATTCTGGAGACAAGTCAGGATAAAAATGTAATGAATAAAAATAAATAAAATACAGTTACTAAGATTGTTCCTCATATATTTAAAACCCTTCCATTCTCTCTTATTAGAAACTGGAAGCTTCACAGAAAATGTTGGAGGACCACATGCAAAGCCTTGAGGCCTCAATTATGCTACGAGAAATCCCAAATCTCCAGGACTCAAGTTTATAGTTAGAAAACAGCAACTGCTATTTTTCTTTGAATGAGCTATGAGAAAGACATGCTAGTAATATATCAAACTTTCATGAAACGCGCATGCAAATATCTCTACTGTTGATAATTGTAATGAAGAGAAATTTAAGAACTATGTCAATGACTAGCTAAAGGTAAATATAATTTTTCCTGTATTAAGAATTGTCACACCTGAATTACTTGATGAATGACTTTATATAAACTAAATTTTCAGATGAGCAATAGATCTTTAATTCCTTTGAAGTGAGCAGCTAAAGAAACTCTAGTACATTTATGTATGTGAACACACAGCACATTATTCCTCTTTCTCAACACACTCACTAAGTGTGACAGCAAATTCTTAACTAACGTTGCTGGAATCAGTGTCTTTAAGAAATCAGTTTAAGTAAGCAAAAAACAAGGCTAAAAATGTCAATTTCTACATCACCATTGCATTGTTCTGGTACCCGTAGAGTAGCTTTGCCTTCAACTGTATCCTGCTACAATGTTCTGCTGACCATCAGAGACCATCTCTCATTCTGTTCCAATCTAGGCTCCTTTTCCTCTTTATTAGAGCAAGATAGTGCAACCAAACCTGATACTGATTTTTGGCAACAGCTATCCAACAAGTTCACTTGGATATGAGCTGTGGCTATATGCTTGAAGCACATCACCTCAACAATTCATTCAGTAGAAGTATTTCACATGCACAGCTCTAACTTACACACAGTTTCATGGCTTTAACAATGTAAAAGATGACCCAGCAATATTCATATAACTGAAGTTGTTATATCTATAATTTTAACAAACTCAGAACAAGCTCTACTAAAGTTTCAGAGCACTAATTCTTGCTACATTTTGTTAGGACCCTGCTGGCAGAACAAGAATGACACATACTGCAAACAGCAGTTCCTTCTGAAAGGTTTACCAAGTTGAGAACTAAGGAACTTAGCAAAACTCACTCCTCAGCATTTTGTGTTCATAGTAGGGCCAACAAAAGCTCAGAGCAATGATGGACGAGAATAGAGAAGGCCTCCTTTGGAAGCTGCTGATGTTGCATTAAGGAAAGCTAAGGATTTACAGTATTTACATTGTTTTAGTTAAGCTTGCACTAGCTATCCATCACAAAACTGTGCATGCTTTTAACACAATGCCCTTTCTTGTCATCTGTCCATCCCTCCTTGAGTCAACAGACCAAAGCTAAAGTGTTGAGCTAGAAAAGAGCAAGAGCATTTTCCTTACCCCAGCTCTACCTTCTCGGTGAGTAAAATACACATAGCTGTAAATGAGGAGTATCTAACATTTAAAATGCATTACAAAACAAATCAACAAGGCTAATTTTTCCAGAACAGGGGTCATATGAGTTTACCAATTCACATTCATAATAGCCATTAGTATATTCCTGTTTATTGATTTATATAAAAGCATTCTCTGTAGCTTTTTAATTCTGTAATTGGAACAAGTAGATGACAGAAAGGCTGAACATACCTGAATAAGAGAAACGTTGTGTAGACTAAGTCTGAAGAGGTAGTTCCTGTGTGAGCAAGCAGATGAAATCAGAGAAGGTTTAGTTATATTAAAAAAATTATCTGAGTAAACAAACAGAAACATTGTACTACCATAAAGCATGAACAGCAATTTTCTATAGGCACTGAACCAAACGTGAAGGATCAAACAATTCCAAACTAACAAATTTCTTGGTTTTTAAATGAACTCTGTAACACAAACAAAACTCTGAAAGCCTCTATCCTATTGCTGTACAAAGTAAAATCCTGTCAGTAAACTAAAGGTTATCACTATGTACAGAGAATGAGTTTTGCTCCCTCCAAATACAGCAAACCTGGAAGCTCTGATTCCTTAAGAAACACCCCAATTCCATACTTCAGTAAGGAACTGTGAACCCAAGAAACACTGTAGATCTAACTCAGGGTTCCCCAAAGTGGTCAATAACAACCCCCAAGGGCCAATGGGACTATTCATTATTATTATTAATAGTAGTAATAGTAATATTTATTAATTTTTTTCATATAATATTGTTCGGGGGTCTGAAACTTCATGAAGGGGGTCAATGAGTTGAAGAGTTTGAGGATCCCTGATCTAACCAGTCTACTATGAAACACAAAATATAGTATCTCCGTATCACATCATAAAGACAGTACTCAACTATCAGAAAAATTAGGCGGGCGAGAAACAGAAGACACGCAGTATCCTTTATGTCAAGTACACACAGATGGTCAACATATGAAGTCCGCTCTATTCACTAATAAAGTGAATACTAATGACTTGTCATATAGAGACAGCTGCTACAGGATGTGATTTAAAATGGCTCCAAATATTAAACATCTTCCATCCAGGCAAACCACACTATATGTGTGATGTGGAGGATCATGTTTTTTGTTTTTGTTCTTCTTTTTTTTAAACTAGAACAGACAAGGATGGGAAAAAGGGACATCTAATTTGAATCAGGACTGCAATGCTGGAGAAGAGAGTTAACCTTTTCAACACCATCCGTTACTTCACCACCCAGAGGGTGCTCTTAATCCCAGGGCTGCATTTTCTCCCTTCATACTGTGGGAAGGAAATCTTCCTCCCACCATCCAGTCTTCCTCCCTCCTCCCCACCATGCAGCCTTCCTGCTGTAATCAAAGCAAAAGATGAGAAACTACAATTAGAATGGGCCCAATACATAGATTAAAATGCAGCGAGAGACACCAATTTCATAACATTCCTTCCTGGCTGAAGTTTAACCAGAGGTCTCTTTGATCAAATGAGAAAAGATCCTTTCCCCGAAGAGATTACCATTTCAATCAACAAATGCTAAACAAGCGGAAAACTGCAACTCAGCGGGGCGCCTAACTACAGAGGAACGCCTAACTTCCTGGAACGCCGGCTCAGTGCATTTTCTTGGAATTCCTGAAGGGCGCGCTTTTGAGGAACAATAGCAAGCTTTCCTTATATAAAGGGCTTATGGGGAGGACTCACTGTGACCGCCCCAACAGCTGGCTTTGAACGTTTGCTCTCAGAAATAAACTTTGCCTCTGATTCAAGCAACTGCCTGCACATTTTATTCCCGGCTCGGAAACAAACCTGGTAAGATTTCTTTCCAACAATACCAAGTATCAGCTTTTGGAGACAGCATTTAAAGGAAAGCCATAGCACAGGAGGACAGGGTTAAAATGTCTCTACTGCAGATCTGAACCCAATCATTATTGTTACTAAGCCCAAGATGATAGGAAATCCTATCACAAACTGCTTGTTCTACACATTGCTTAATTCTGAGATAATTAACATTTTCTCTGTCTCAGTCTTCCTGATCTTCTTTTCCCGTTTTGTCTTGCAGTGAGCCAAGAAAGCTCTACTTAAGCAAGTGCTGGATACTGATTTACAAAAGAGCATGGCTTTGATTTATGAATCCAACTTTCCCCCTTTGGATTTCAAGTTCTGAACACATTACTTGCATTTAAATTGTATCTGGGCATGCAGTCAACCCGTCCTGCAAACCTCTCTCCAATTGCTGCATCACATAATTAATACACCTCTTTTGCGCACTGCATATTTAAAATATCACATTTGTCTGCTTTCATCAGTTTGAAGGTCTAAAGGACTTGGCTTCTTCTGAATGTACCATACAGAGCCAGTCTAGGTTAACGATTGAAGTGTTGATCCCGGATTTAAATCCATACTCACTGATGAAGCCTATTGGCTGACTTCAGCCACTGACCTACTGCAGTGGAATTTTCAGAAAGCATTTTAAAAATGCTAAAACTGCGTTGGTTTGGGCTGGCTCATTCAATTTTGTTATGTTTGCGTTCTGCGAACGGACATGTGTCCTGCTGATACTGTTTACAGTATAATTTCTGGACAAAACCTGATTTTTTTTCTATTGAGTTTTTTCCTTCTGTGCTGTTAGAGCTTCAGAAAGTAAAAAGACTGAGCTAAGGGAATGTGCATGTATGACTGCTCTCTTTTTTTTTTCTTCCTTTTTTTAGTTTGAATATAAATTGAGGATTTATTTTCTAACTTAGTTTGGGGTAGCAGTGCTTTCTTGTTTCATTTGCTTTTTGAAGTAATCTATTTATTCCTGTGAGGGTCGATCAACAGCTGATCTCAGCCCTTTTTTCCTGTTGTAACACAATGAAACCGGAATGTATCAAGTGGAACCATTTTATTCCAAGCTCAAAACAACTCTTTGTTTTCTCAGAGTTAAACCACGGCTTACCATGCTGTATGAACGTAACGAGCGAGTAGTTGGTTACCTTTAGTTGCTTTTAAAAAAAGAATCATTTCGGCATATTTTATACAACAAAAACTGAATGACTGCTCTGTCTGAGATTAGCCAAGGCCCCAAGTTACATATGTGAACCACGTAGTTACATGTGTGCACTCATGCAAATGTGTATAGGCGTATACTCTGATTAACCACTGTGGTATCAGTGTCCTTTCAGCATTTCTAAGGCATTTGGTTAAATGGGTGGACATTTTTGCCATTACTATCTAAGTTATATTTTCATTATTATTCAGCATATAATCTCCTCTTTTTATGTGAAATATAGGAGTCTATTTTGGTTAACTTACTATACCTTTAGCTTTGAGCTTTAATTCCAATTCATCCATGCATTTTTCATGCACCCATGTCTTGCTAGTGCAAAAATACTTCCCTGCATAATGTATCAAACAAATAATATACCTTCCTTGGGAAATGTGACCATTTATAAGCCTCAGGTCCCAGTTCACTCTAAGAAGGGCAACAAGGGGTTTAGCAGTTTTGCCTTGCTCTTCTCTTGTTAAGAATGCTATTTAAATGCATTGGTTTCAGATAACTCATAAGAAGAATTTGGCACTAGCAACAGCCAGCCTCCTAGAAACATCGTATATTTTGACTGAATAAACAATTTTAATATTTAAGCTAATTCTTCCATTGCTATGGGATGGAAATAGGCAGCAGAACTAATAAAAAAAATCAATATGGAATAGCATATTAACTATAGGAAATAAATGCAGCCAGCTTCTCTGAAAGAAACTGAGATCGCATTGGCATCAACATAGTATGTATCTTCAGATCTAGACACTGTAGTGATCCTTCACTCAATTTGTATTGTAGGGAAATGTGTGTTCATGTTTTCATGGGACTGATGCAAAACCTATGCAAAAAACACACACGCCATGCCATCCAACACTATCTCAAAATCCAGACACAAGTTAAAGGAAACCATGTGTAATGCTTCTTAGTGTATGCAGAAACTATCTATATTTATAGGGTTACTGCTGGAATTCTACCTTTTTAAAATTGGAAATGAAAACTGTATCAACCTATGATAACTTATCCAGAATGTCATTTTGTGTATTAATTGTAGGGTTGCCATTACATTTCATAACTGACTCATTTGGGACCTTTCATACATATGGGAAACCTGCAATATTTTATTTATTTTAAAATACAGTTATTTATATGTTCCTTCATCAGATTATTCTTAGTGGCTCAGATCTGTAAAACGTTCAATAAAACCATAAACTGATACATAAGATCATAGCAGCCAGAAGAATCAATCCCCAAACGATTGGCCTCCAACAGCTTTGCATCCTCCCTACTGTAGGCTGTATGGAAAAGCCTAGCTGTGAAACCTCAGGTATACACTCACAGAACAGATACTACCCAACTGCATATCTGACAAAGCTGTAATTCTGAATGTATTATCAACTGTATTATAATCATAAGACTTGTGTCAACATTAATACAATGAAGTTATGCTCCCGAACACAAAAATCCCTGCTGTAGTTTATTGATTCTGAGAGGAGGCAGTAGTCTGATTCACATCAAGCTAAAACTTTCAGGGAATTAAATCAGATTATCCTACTCTGATATATCCAGTTCTAACATCTGCTCTATAGACTCACTGTACTTCCTTCAAAATTCTGTTTCTATCAAGCAATCCATCTCACCCTACCAAATGCTATACTCAATTTTCTGCCAGTGCCCAAACACTTTTAAACTGTGTTTTGGCATCCATATAGCTCACCAGAGCTGGATAAAGCAGAAAATATACCATATTTTATTCCTCAAAAAGAACGTATCTTAAAAATTTTAAGCAAATATTCCTGAATATTCTGGGGTCTCTGGAAGAAGTCAAGGAGAACTATGAATATGACTGGTCCATTCTTATGGGTGGGAATTGTAGGTAAATAGTTGAATCAAAATTAACTTTGACACCAAGTAACAAACCTGCAAACGCTTCCAGATGATGATTACTCATTCTTCCAGAAGCTCAATTTATCATGAGGCTTCTCCGAATTAAAGAACAGTGCAAATCTCATAGACGAATATAACTCCTTTTTCATTCAGTTTTGGCTATCTCATAAAAGACTAAGTGCTTGCTGTGCCTAACACCATAAAGAAGCAGGACTTGAGATATTAACATCTATGCATGGTTTTAAAAGAAGCTGGGAAGAATTCCTCCTCTTAATTTATTTGCTCTAAATAGGTCCACCTAAAAGCTGATTCTGAAATTTGGCCTACAGAGGTCTTTGGGAGGGAGG